TCCAGCCAGTGAAATATTACCGAGCCCAGAAGCAACACAAACGTCCCACGTCCCAGAGCACAGAGGAAACCTAGCCCTGTGCTCCCGGTAAAGCCAGCTGAGGTTTCCTGGTGCTGAAGGACAGAAGACCTTCTGGAAACGGCTGACGTGCTCCAGCGAACAGCTTGCTGAAGCCCCGGGGAACCAGAGGGGACCGGCTCCTACCGCACCGTGGCGGCCGTGTCCCCTCACCAGGCCTGGGTCCACACCCGTAGGAAGCAGAGCCCAGTGGACGGTCACGGAGACCGACCTCAGGAGATAAACCCTCAGCGGGCTGTGCGGCCCGAGGCTGTGCCGGGCAGGGACGGTGCTGGACGCCTCGTACTACTGCGTCGTGTGGCTGAGTCCCAACTTCTCCACAGATCAACCTACGAAGTATTCTTCTAAGTCGGCTGACGGCGGAAGAACGCGGAGAGGAGGATGCGGGCAGGTGAAGAGCTTTTACCAGAGACAGAAAAGACGAGACCTGCTCGAACCCGGACAGGACCCGGGAGGCCACGCGCACAGAGCCGAGGAGCACGTGCAGCAGGCGGGGCGAACGCATGCGCCCTGCGAGGGAGAGCGAGGACGAGGACCGGCGCATCTTCCGGAACCCGGTGACTCAGCGCTTTCGGGTCTCCCGGTTGGGGCTCACGGGAGATATGCAAATGAGCTGGAGCATCATGGGAGGTGGGCCTTTATAAGGGAAGGGTGGGCGCCCACCGTCCTTTGCCGACTTGCTGGCGCCCAGGGAGCGCTTTTGGGGGTTGGTGCGGACTCGGGTGGTGAGATGGGGAAGGGCTGGTCCGGGAGGGCAGGGGTGGCCCGGGGCTGGGGTGCGGACCACGGGCGTGGGCAGTGGCCTGGGGCTGGTGGGCAGCCGTGGGTGGAGGGCAGGAGGACGGACCTAGCTAACCCCTTCGGTTGGTAGACCAGGCCGAGGGCACGTTGACCTTGAGACCCTTGACGATGCCAGAGCCGGTGGGTGCTGGAACAGTCCCAGGCCTCCTGGGGCTCAGGATGACCTGTGAGCACCGAGAGGCTGGGCTGACCCCAGCACGCAGCGGGGATGCTGAGCCTGACTCCTTTGCAGCTCCCAAGACATGGAAGCCAGTGCAGAGCTGAAGTTTCCGGACGCTCGAAGGCTGCCAACTTCTGCAGGGCCCCGCTGAGGTGGGACCCGGGCGTCCCGCCCCACCGGTGTCCCGGGCACTAGAAACCCCTCCTTCCTCAGCCCCATTTCTCCCCTGTTCCTTGCTCCCTGTTCTCAGCCCCTCTCACCTGTCCTCAGGTGTCCAGATCCTGTGCATCTGACCCTCAGAAGCCCCTGTCAAGTCCTGCCCGCAGCGTCCACTCCACTGAAGACACAGGGAGCGGGGCCATGTGTCCCCCAGTCCGCATGCGCCACGGGGCGAAGGGCCTGTCCTGCCTGTATGCCGCCTGGCTGTACCAGCTTGTCCACGGAGACCAGATGCAGATCTGCTTTGCTTGCTTCAAGGCTGCCTTCCTGGTCGTTAAAAACATGTTGGAGATGGGAGACTGGGAAATGTGGAGTCCCGAGTCCTCCGAATTTTCCGAGACAGAGTCTGAGGAAGACACGGGGTCAGAGCAAGACGAATGGCTGGAGTTCAGCTGGGGAGAGGGCCAAGGGCAGCCTCCTGAGGATGACTCTGAGCAGGGAGTTCCTGAGGCCCAGGCCCCAGCACCTGTAGGGGCAGTGATGGTGGGACTGGGACCCCAGTCTATGCCCACTGAGCTGGAGCCTCAGGAAGCAATTCCCCTGGACCTGGGCCCTGAGCATGCTGAGTGGACCCAGACCCTTCCCTGGAGATTCGATGGCCTTTCTCCCTGCTCACACTGGCTCATCCCACCTCTCTCCTGGGGCGATATTTTCAGTTTGAGCCCGTCTCCAGGGCAACCTGTATTGCTGGAGCTGAGCCCCACCTGGCCCATGGACCCTGTGGAGGCGGAGGCCTGGCTGGTAGAACTGAAGTTCGTTTTCTTGTTGGGTAGCTTCAGTACCACCTTCTACTTGCTGTCGATGACTCCCTGCTGGGCAGTGAGGATCCCCGTCCAGCGCTGGCAGGTGTTGCTGCACTCTGGTGAGGCGAGGTTGGCCAGGCTGCAAAATGCCCCTCAGCAGGAGGACGTGCAGCGCTGGAAGCTGAGCATCCTGGAGCCCTCAGAGCTGGGGATAGAGATGGTGCCTGCAGACTGCAGCCTGCGGAAGGGAGGCTTCACCCTGCACTCTTACTTGCCCTGGCAGAATGGCACTCCAGAGGCCTGGAGCTGGGAGCCGAGAGAGCGACTGCATGTCACAGAAGTCGTGCCTCTGAGTGAACTGCCCCTCTTCCATCCCTCTTCCCCAGAGCCCCACAACTGAAGGACTGAGGCAGCCAGCACCATCCTTGCTGTCCCAGGGCCCCAGGGACGGAAGAGCCAGTGGTTCCTGCCCTTAGCAGCCC